CGACCGCCGGAGCCCGGGGCCGCGCTGCCCCAGCCCCTTCCCGTCTGGGATTATCCCGCCCGCACGGACAACTCTGTCCTGCCCCAGCACCCCCGGGCTCTCGGGGCTCCCGGTGCCGCCGAGCCGCGGAGCTCTGCTGACCCGGCCCCGGGCGTGCGGAGGCGGAGGCAGGGGTTGCTGGGCTTTGCCTGCCCGTACAGCTTCCCCCCGCCCTTCTCCATGCTGTTTTTAATTTGATAGGGAGCCTTCATCCCCCTGGGACGCGGCTCCCTGCGGCTGGAGCAGGGTTGGTCACCCAGCGAGGAGCCGGGCCTGGCTCTCGGTGTCACCGGGATCACAGCGGGAACTCGGGGATGGAAGATGTGGGAGGAACTGGGTGTCACGGGGATGTTGAGTCATATAGGGTGGGCTTTCTCCACGGGGAATGAAGCTGCCAGGCAGTCATCTCCCGCAGCAAGCTGTGACATGGATGATGTCCCCAGCCTGGGAAGCACCTCAGAATGGGGACAGCAACTGGTGTGGGTCCCCAGCACCTGTAGCCATCTCCCCTCACCGCTGCGCCCCAACCACTCACTCTGTCCCTTGCACCACCCCAGCACGACACCCAGGGCCGCCAGCCCTGAGAGCCCTTTTCCCAGGGAATTCATCCCAAAGTTTGTGAGCCTTGAGCTTGGCAGGAGCAGCTTCTGCAACCAGTGCCATGAAGGGAGCTGGCAGGTAGACAGACAGGGGGATTACTCCAGTGTTTATCACATTAGGGGGATACATAAATGCCATGGAGATCAGGGCCCTGAGTGTTCAGTCTGACACGTAGTGAAGGACAAGGCCTGTCCTAAAGAGCTTAAGCCTAAATCTGAAGCGAGAGCTCCAGGCAGGCTTGGGCAGCAACAGGGAGAGGCAGCTTTCCTACTCAGTTTCTCAGGGCACACCATGGAGATGCAGGAGGCAATTCCTCAGCCAGGTCAGGCCCCTTCTGCCTCAGCTGCATTTCACTGTCTGGCCCAGCAAATCCTGGCCACTGGCAGGAAGGTGTTAATTTGGGAGAGGCTCCTGACCCCGGGGTGGGCTCCTGATTATGGGGTGCCTCACAGGCCTGGGGTCACTCCTGACCCTGGGGTGGTTTCTGGACCTGGCGTCACTCCTGACCTTGGGGTGGCTCCTTGAGGAGAAGGTGCCTCCCCCCATCCCCCTCAGGCTCTGGTGCTCTCTCTGAAGAAGCCTCTCATGGCACCATGACTTCCCTTCCCTCTTCCCTTCCCTCTTCCCTTCCCAGCCCAGTGCCTGTGTCCCACCGTGGGTGTGGGGTGGGAAATCCCTGCAGGCTTCTGTCACCTGTAAAAGCTGGTTTGGATCCACTGGGCACTAAGAGCTGCCCTGAAATCACCTTTGGAGATTTCAGTCTGTGCCCACAGGGCTGGGACTAACAGGGAATGCCTGGGGACATCTGAAAGTGGGAGCTGGATTTGCTTCCCCAAGGGCCCTTGGAGGCTCTGACAGGGGATCCCAGGAGTTACAAACCTGGTGGAGAAAAGCTGATGTGCCTGTGTGAAGAATGCAAACATCCCAGTGGCATTTGCATGTGAAGAGGGCTGCTGGGTGTCCTGACATAACCAGCTGCTCCCAGCATCTCCTGGCTTTCCCTCCAAAGCCTCCAAGCTTGTCCACTCTCAGCAAAAGGTGGATGAGGAGTGCTGCAGGCCCAGGACTGTGCAGCTCCTTCCTCGTGCATGCTGGCAGCTCCTTTAGGGTTGGACATTCCTTCCTTCCCTTCCTTCCTTTCCTTCCTTCCCCTCCTTCCCTTCCTTCCCCTGGTACTGGCACTGTCTCTCCTTGCTTGGCTGCTGCCTGGCTCACCACGAGAGCCTCCCCGATCCTCCTCAGCTGCCCCAGGAGCTCGGCGCTCCTGGGTTTGCATAACCAGCAAAGCTTATCCCAAATCCTGCTAAGCCAACTCGGGTGGTGGCAGGGAGACAGCGGATGACAGGGAGCCTCAAGGGAACAAAGCCCACATCCTCTCTGAGTTCTCCACGGGCCACATGCCAGCTTTGGGGTGGGGGCATAGGTGTGCATGCACTGCCCTGCAGTAGAAAGAGAGACAGCCAAGCTCCTACAGCCCCCCATTCCCACACAGGGTGACTTTTGCACCCCCAGACCCGGTGCTGAATTGCTCCTCTCCACACACATCTGCTCACATCTGTCCCAGCCAAGCAGCAGGGTGTTGGTCGTGTGTGGGCAGGCAGGTGTGTGTGTGTGTCTCCTCAGCACCTGCCTCTCTGCCCTCTGTCAGACCCCAGCTTTGATCCTGGGTTTGCTGTCTAACTGCCTGTGTCCTGCCTCTCCCCACTCCTCCCTGTCCCGCTCTGTCCCCTGCATTTCAACCCTGCAGGTTTTACTGGGACCTCATCATGCTGCTCCTGATGGTGGGGAATTTGATCATCCTGCCCGTGGGCATCACTTTCTTCAAGGATGAGAACACCCCTCCCTGGATCGTTTTCAACGTGCTTTCAGACACTTTCTTCTTGGCTGACCTGGTGCTGAACTTCCGGACAGGCATCGTGGTGGAGGACAACACGGAGATCATCCTTGACCCTCACACCATCAAAATGAAATACTTGAAGAGCTGGTTCCTGGTCGACTTCGTTTCCTCCATCCCTGTTGACTACATTTTCCTCATTGTTGACCTGGAGACCCAGGTGGATTCTGATGTCTACAAGACAGCCCGGGCCTTGCGCATCGTGCGCTTCACCAAGATCCTCAGCCTGCTGCGCCTGCTGCGTCTCTCGCGCCTCATCCGCTACATCCACCAGTGGGAGGAGGTTAGAACCCCTTGGGGGTCTCCTGGTCAGGGTCCCAGGCCAGGTTGGGGGTCCCCAGCTACAGGGTGCAGCTCCAAGGGCTGTTGTAGGAGAAGAGTTTCTCTTCAGCTCCACTCCTGCCTATCCCCCAGATCTTCCACATGACGTATGACCTGGCCAGTGCCGTGGTGAGGATCTTCAACCTCATCGGGATGATGCTGCTGCTGTGCCACTGGGACGGCTGCCTCCAGTTCCTGGTGCCCATGCTGCAGGACTTCCCTGAGGACTGCTGGGTCTCCAAGAACCACATGGTGGTGAGTGGCCAGATAGGGGTGATTCCAGCCGGGATCTGCCGTGGTGGGGAGAGGAGTTGGTTCCCTGTCTCCTACCCCAAGGCTGGAGCTGCTGGGAGATGTGCGTGTTGGTGTCTCTGTGGTCACAGCAGTGAGACAGGGCAGAGGGAATCTCTGCATCACCTTCCCATCTCAGCCCACATTGCTGGAGTCAGAGAATCCCTCAGGGAGGGAACAGAACACCGGGGCTCCTGTCTCCTCCCCCAGAGCAGGGCTGATGCCTGCTCGGAGCTCCACACAGCCCCAGTGCCGCTTCCTGGAGAGCTCATCCCTTTGGCCTCCAGGAACTTTGTTCTTGCTGGGTCTCTGGTCTCCACAGCTTAGGGAGGTGGGACTGGGGGGTTCAGCCCCACAGCACCTTCCAACAAACCCCCCCAGCACCACTGTCCCTCATCTGCAGAACGATTCGTGGGGGAAGCAGTACTCGCACGCCCTGTTCAAGGCCATGAGCCACATGCTCTGCATTGGCTACGGGCAGCAGGCCCCCGAGGGCATGACCGACGTGTGGCTCACCATGCTCAGCATGATCGTGGGGGCCACCTGCTACGCCATGTTCATCGGCCACGCCACCGCCCTCATCCAGTCCCTGGACTCGTCCCGGCGCCAGTACCAGGAGAAGGTCAGTGGGGTGGGGGGGGGAGGGTCTGGGTCCTGGGGGGAGAGCTCTGGCAAGAGCAGGTCCAGCTCCAGAACCAGCTCAGCACAGCTGCTGTGCCCTGTCGGTTGCAGAGGTTGGGATCTTTGTCCTTGCCGCTCTTCCTCGGGTTGCTGCAGGTGGAGGTCAGGCTGCCCATTGAGAGAGACAGATCATATTGGGGCCCATCCTGGGGGTCACTTTTGCACAGTGTGGCCCCATCCTGCCCTCTGTCCTGGGCCCACCTGAGTGCACAGGGGTCCTGTCCTTTGCCCCAGAGGTGGCCCCTGGAGCAGGGGTGTCTGTATCTACATCACTGAGGAGAAGGGACACATCATCCAGCCATGCAGGTGGTCCCAGCTCAGCCCTGTGTGACTCCCCTTGTCCCCACAGTACAAACAAGTGGAGCAGTACATGTCGTTCCACAAGCTGCCTGGGGACACGCGCCAGCGGATCCACGAGTACTACGAGCACCGCTACCAGGGCAAGATGTTTGACGAGGAGAACATCCTGGGGGAGCTCAGCGAGCCGCTCAAAGAGGTGTGGGCACACCACACTCCAGTGGTGGGGGGGACAGAGGCTGGTGCTCACAGGGGCCAGGCTCAGTGACATTCCCACTGACCTGCTCCTCACCCCACAGGAAATCATCAACTTCAACTGCCGCAACCTGGTGGCCAACATGCCCCTGTTTGCCAACGCGGACCCCAACTTTGTGACGGCCATGCTGACCAAGCTGCGCTTCGAGGTCTTCCAGCCTGGGGACTTCATCATCCGCGAGGGCACCGTGGGCAAAAAGATGTACTTCATCCAGCACGGGGTGGTCAGCATCCTCACCAAGGGCAACAAGGAGACAAAGCTGTCTGATGGCTCCTACTTTGGAGGTGAGGCTGGGCTGGGGGACATGGTGAACAGAGGAGGGGCCAAAAGCTGGCCAGGAGCAGAAGCTGGGGCATCCCTAAAGTTTCTGCCTGCCCATGTCCTCTTGCCCAGTGCTAAAGTCTTAGCATCCACTTCAGTTCTGGTTGGCTGGGGCAGAGGGAGCATCCATGACCCCACTGCTGGCCAGGGAGGAGGAGAGTTTAGAGTAAAACATCTGAGCCAGTTTATAGGACACAGGGAGGAAAACAGGCCAGGCCATCACAGCAGCCTCACCTGGGGGTGTCTCCATGGCCTGGAGAGGGAGGAAAACACCGTGCTTGGCCAAGGAGACAGCTGTGGCCTCTGAGCCGTGCTCTGTGCAGGGTGTTGGGGTGATGGGCAGTCCCGTTCCTGCTCTGAGCTGGGAGGGGGATTGATGGCTGTGCCACCCTGAGCCCAGCCCCGTGTCCCTGCAGAGATCTGCCTGCTGACACGGGGCAGGCGCACGGCCAGCGTGAGAGCCGACACCTACTGCCGCCTGTACTCCCTGTCGGTGGATAACTTCAACGAGGTGCTGGAGGAGTACCCCATGATGCGCAGGGCCTTCGAGACGGTGGCCATGGACCGGCTGGACCGCATAGGTGAGGAGTGACCTCCTGGGCTCAGCACAACCACCTCTACAGCCACTCCCAGGGCCCACAGGTCCCCAGACCTGCAGGTGATGGGGTCACAGAGCTGGGGTGAGGCGACCACAGTGCCCCAGCCCCATGGGTACCCAGCAGTGAGGATGATGGGGAGCGTGGGGAAGGAGCCTGTCCTCTCTCTCTCCATCCCTCCCAGCAAGATCCAGGCAGTGCCATAGGAGAGGCTTCCCTGGGAAAATGTCACTGTACTTGCAGTGTCTGGCAGTGACCTGCTGCTTGTTCTCACTCACCCTTCCTTGCCTGTGGAGGACAAGCAGGACCCCAGCCCCCAGTCCCTTTGGACTCCCCTGTTTTGTCCCTGCTGCTTCCACTGCTCCAGTCTGGCCCCTTGCCAGGGTCTTGGAACGCTGGTGCGGTTTTATTATCCCTTCCCCGCTGCCACCCTGCCCTTCACACTGCCCCCAAGGGACACTCCCAGGGTCGGTGACACTCGTGCCTCCCCTCCAGGGAAGAAGAACTCCATCTTGCTCCGCAAGCGAGCCGAGCACAGCTCGGGTCCCCTGAACAACGAGATGATCCAGCAGATCGTAAAGCACGACCAGGACATGGCCCACAACATCCAGGACCTGCAGCAGATGGCGATGGGCCGGGAGCTGAGCGGGAAGCCGGTGATCTGGGAGCCGCTGGTGCACGCTCCCCTGCAGACGGCCGCCGCCACCACCAACGTGGCCATCGCGCTGACCCACCAGCACAGCCTGCAGGCTCAC